AGTAACCACAGGTCACTTCGTTTCTGATTTGAAAGCCCTACTTACACGAACACATCCCAGCCTGGGAACCAAACCCTTCCTATTAGGTCTTGGCAGTCACCCACGTGCAAGGCTGACTTTTGTCATCTTTAATTCCCTGTGTTTCCTTGGGCAGACTTTAACAATGACGATTACATATGCAAATCAGATCTAGAGAAAACTGTGAACAAATTAACCCGGCATGAACTCACCCCAGAGGAGGTGAGCCTGGTGTGTGAGAAGGTGCTTTACGAGGCCGATGCGGACAACGACGGCAAGCTGTCCCTGGAAGACTTTCAGCACATGATCCTACGAGCTCCAGATTTCCTCAGGTAATATTTGCTTTGCATTTCTAACACAAAATCGCTCTTCGTTTTTTCTGTCAGCTGTCTCTGAAGTGTGTGGTTGACATCTCTCCAGCTGCTACAGGTCACCCCTCTTCCCTGACAGCTTCTAGGAGAGCTGCCCGCTGCAAAGACTAGGAAAACAGATGCTTGAGAGAGTGTGGAGGGTTCTTGACTTGCTCTTGGAACCTCCAATGTACTTTTTACATGACAAAAAGTCCTTGTCACTTAGAAAGTTACTACTGGCACCTTGGTTCCACTGATAAGTGTATGAGATTAGCTCACTCCATGTGTAACAGTCTTAATTGTAGCTTCTGAATCCCCTTACACAAAACAGCACACAAATCTTGCAGTTATTTCATGTACCTATTCTTTGCAAGTGCTTTGCAAAATAGTTTCCAATTTACTGCACAGTCCTGGGATCGTTTGTAGTGAATCCCTTTGAACAGAGAAGTGAAAGACAAGTGATTATGACTTCCTTTTTTTTTTCATAGCACGTTTCACATTCGCATCTGAGTCTAGTGAAACATGTAGATGGAAAGTGCTTCTGGAACCTCCAACCCCTTCACCTGAGAGTGCCGCAGGATGAGAGGAGTGCTGGGGAAGACTTCTGGTAACTGAACCAGCCAGAGAACTCTGTCTCGTTTACCTCGTTAAAAGGAACAATTCATTATGATTTCCCTGTAATTTAACCACGTGTCTATCTCCACCCCAGCCAGAGCAAATCAGACCTAGACAGATTGGAAATGTTTCCTGAAAGTTGACAAACCACCAGGTAGTAAAGGAACTTGTATTAAATTACAGCATTCAAAAACATCCCCAAGAAAATGCCTTAACCAGTAAATAAAACCTTGAAAAGTTTCAAAAACATTGTGGTTCATCCCAGTTGTGATCAGCTTGAACAGTCTTAGCAAGCAGTCCAGTGAATCAGTCTGCTGTCCTCCCAGCATGTCACAGAACCCATTACAGGTTCTGAGCAGAATATAGGGAAGAGTTCTTGGTTTCAGAATTTCCTGCAAAGTCACCACACTTTGAAGGGCAAAGGAGCCCACCCCAGGTTCCTGTCCCCCTTTTCCAGTTTTAGAAATACCCTATTTTCCACATGAGAAATGCATGGATCATCAACAGGACTGACAGACTAAGTCTGGAAAATTCTCTTTTCATAAGAAGTTTATTTATGCAGTGCTCAGGGTCCTGTACAAGAGTAAAAACATATATCCTGTAATAAACACCAGTTTTGTTTGGAATACAAACATGAAAATCAACGAGAAGTGTTTAAGAAAGCAGTTGTAACGTGGGAAGGGTGGCAGCCAAAAGTGGTCATTCTAAAAACACAATTTACAGTTATTTTAAAAAATATTGGGATGCATTAAGTTCCCTTCAAAGCAAAGCCCTAAGTCCCAACTCGTGCTGAACGTCCAGCAGGTGGTTCCTGCAGAAAGGCAAGAGCCCAGCCTGCTGAGCTCCCCTCCCCTGCAGACACAGCTCCCATGGAACAGGGCAGCCTGGGACACCCAGACTGCTCCTCACCACTGGCCCATCAAGCAGATCTCCAGCCCAGCAGTGAGGACAGAGGTCAGTTGTCATTCTCTCCCAGCCCCTGGGGACCTCTGGTACACCTGGAGACCAGCCTCTGGGCAGCTCTTTGTCCCTCTCCTCTCCGTGAGCTCCGTGCAGTTGGAGCCCCAGAGAACAGGGAATCAGGGTGGATTTTGAGCACAACCATGGGCCAAAGTCACCACCACCCCCTTAGCAAGTGTCAGTGAGATGATCAGCAGCTCACGTGAGAGGAGACCGAATAATTCTCAGCAGCAGTAAAGAGATTTGCAATAATCCATAGGATTTATAAACCTGAGGCTGAAAGTCTGATGCTGGCATAAGGCTCTGATGTCAAGAACATTCGACGTGCCCGTCAGCACAGGACAGAGACAAGGCCAGGGTGAGGATGGCAAAACATCAGTTCCACCCTCTGCTGGCAGCTCTGCACCCAAAAGGGTGAGGACTATCCAAAATATTCCAACCAGCCTCGAAAACAAGGTCAACCACAGAATTCTATGATCCTCATTAAAGTAAGGGAATTTGAGAACGTGCTCAAAAATGGGTTTGTTCTTCTACAAACCAAGTGTTGATCAATTACCTGACATTTTAGTGGCATTTAGACACAGAGAACGTGTAGTGAGCACACAGTTAGTTTGTCAATCTACTGACAGTTCCTCAGCTTTACAAATTTTGTATCTGATTCCAGCTTTCTTCCTCCTTAAAGAAATCTTAGCTATAAATACAGGGCTGTATGTATTTACACAGTACCTCTTCTAATCACTGTGTTGTCCATAACACACTCCAAGAAACAATAATTTCATGATGTGATGGAAATATCAACCACATCTTGTACTTCTCCAAGAGCTGATGTCTGTGTTTAGTGACATGTAGCCAAGCCACTGCAGTGTCTTGAACCTTGTCCTGTCTTACAGTTGCATTTTAGGTTTCACATTGCTTACACTGATTTAATTTCCATCTAGAAAACACCCTAGAAGTACAGTGCTGACTGTAGTCACAGTAACTGCATGAAACTTCCTGAGATTGGGCAATAATGTCGTTGTTCATTGAGTAAAACCAATCGTTTCATAAAAGGAAATCAGGCTATAAATTAGACACATGAACCTGTGCAACAACCAGCCAAAGGTTAAACAAAGGGTATTAAAGGTACAAAGAATCAGCTTTGAATGCAAAAGAGAAGCTTAAGACTTAGAAAATGGGGAGGGAAAGCCACAACTCCATCCTTTTTTATCCACTTGTAAATTAATAGTTTTAGTCTCATCTGGAGATGAGTTCTTGATTTAGACACTGCCACCAGGCAGCAGCCAGTGTCCCAGGGCACAGCCCAGGCTGGCAGCTGAGACCAACCACTTCTTTTCCCAGTCACTCTGAAGAACAAGCCTGGCTGCAACATCTGGCCATGTTCCCTTAGAAGGATGGATGTGAGACAATCCACACTGACTATCAAGCCAGAAACAAATCCTTAAGCAGATCAGTCTTCTGTAGGAAAACAACATTCAGACTGTGCCTTCACCACCTCCCCAATTCTGCCTCTAACTTCTTGAAGCAGACACAAAGTCTTTCTTCAAAAGCTCCTTCTCTCCCGACAGCAGCTTTGCTTGCCCCATCTATAGCTCTGTTACTACATTTTGAAGCACATTCTGACTAGCTGGTTCTTCAGCAGCTTAACATGGTTTTATCCTACAAATACACCTGTGAGGGATCCACTATGGTGCACGTTCACCAACTCCTCGTGCTAAAAAGCCACAAGAAAAAGAAACAAAGCGAAAAAACCATCGGGTTCTGGTTAGAGGAAAGGTTTAGGTATGATTTTAATCATGAACAGAGCTCACTGTCATCTAGCTATTACAAAAAATCAAAAAAAAAGGTGGGTAGCATCTGAAATGCATTTTTATGAAGCAGAAAAAAACCTTCCTTTTTCCATTTTAGAAACACAGGCAATACTCCTGTTCAGCCCAATGGCACACTCCAGATTTATAAAGCTTACCTAGGAACCTGACAGAGCTTTAGCTAGCATAACACTCAGGGGTGCTGCTCTGAGGGCAGAACACAACACCACAACCTTGAAGAAAACCAAAGCGGTGAGTAAATGCATTCACTTTAAAATCAGCTTTAATTTTAGCCTTAAGTGCAGTTGTCAATGTAAACAAAGCAGGGTGACAATTCCAGTGAGTCACAGGACACAGCCACAAGACACCCTCAGGCCCATCGCCCAGCAGCAGGCTGGGAGCTGCTGGCTCTGACTGGCTCCTCCTGTCAGGCTCACAGCCCTGGCAGGAGAGGAGCTCCCAGGAGCCGAGCTCAGCCCTGAGGCTTTACACATGGGAATGTAAGAGACTGGGTTTCTAGGAATAAATACAGAGTATTTCACTGAGGGCTGCACACCCTTGGCAGAGGTGCAGGCTCTGAGCAGGTCTGTTGCTGCCTGGAACCTGAAATGATGGACAGCCAGCAGCAAGGCAAACCTCACTTTCAAAAAGGTTTGTTTGCAAGAAAGTGTTTGTATGTGCAACATTTATTTGCATATGTGAGCAAGTGTGCATGAGAACACACCACTGGAAGCAGTGCAATGCATTTTCTTGTCACAATTGAAAACTAGCTACTACCCAGTGACAGAGCTGGAGTCCTTCTCAGCTGCAGAAGCTGCTCCTTGTAAGGGGACAGGTTTTGGTGTCCTGACTGAGCCAGGGCCTGTTCCCCCAGGCCAGACACAGATCATCACCCTGGGACTCCCCAGCTCCTGCCCAATGCACTGAGCCCAGCAGGGCCAAGCCTGGCGTGGGTAAAGGAACTCCTGCTGGAAAGGATCCATTGTACTCACAGCACACTTTGGTTTTTTAAAAATATATTCCTTTGAGGAGGATTTTTAACTTCAGTTGTACGTGTAGATTGTCTGGAATAACACAACTGAACAAATAACAGGCAGATAAAGGATTTTCTCTGTAGTAGAAAGAGGTGGAGATGCAGAAGCTTCCTCCTACCTTCTGAAAGGCTCCAAGCCTGTGCTGCTCACCTAAGTGCATTGTTCTGATGTTCCATACTCCCCTGCAGATGTGGATGTGCACGTTCCATGCACACACCCCTGGACTTTATTGTTGGCATCTCAGTTCCTTATTTTGATCATAACTCAATCTTTCTGATTTGGATCCGTTACAGAAATGAACAAAAAAGATTGAAGCCTGTCAGCAAAGATGCTTTCTCACAGGTCACACCTGCTCTGCACTCCCTCTGCCAGACCACACGCACGTCCAGTGGCAACCTGACAAAAATAAACGTGTTTCTTCTCCAAAATTGAAGAGTCAGACAATTACTAAAATAAAGAGTCTCTTTTCCAGCTGGTCACAAAGTGACAAGGTACGTTGGAAACGCCAAGTCCGCAGAGAGGGAAGCTCAGCCAGCACAGGCACAGTCCAGCTGGGCTGAGCACACACTCAGATTAAGGCCGTGTCCCTCACAGAAGAACACATCGGAAAAAGCTGCTTTTCTTTTGCTGGTCTGGTGTGATTTTGACTCCCTGGTTGCTGCCTTGTGGGCTATTGCCTTCCTGAAGAGGCAAAGAATATGAAGTTATTTATTTGTGCTTCACAGCTTCTCGCATCCACACTTCACCTGGGTGTGCTGTGGACTGGAGCCTGCTGTACCCAGAGACAACAGGAGTCGCTGCTCTCTGCTCTGGGACTTAATTCAGCCACTAAAAGAAGTCAGAGAACTGCTTCTGTGACTAACACACACTGTGCCTCTGCTACTTCTAGAAACTCAAAGACAGCTGAGGTTTCAAAAAAAGTCTGAGACTACAGGACATGTCTGGCTCTTGCTGGAACAGGAATTGTTGGCAAGACCCAAACCTGGCAGCTCGGCACACGTCTGGTGGCAGGGAGGTGGGAGGCTTGGTAGAAGTGGAAGGAATCTTCATTAGCTTCATTTTCAAAGGGACAAAGTGACCTCAACAGATGCCTGTTGGCTGTACAGCAGCTCACCCAAGCACTTCTCAGAAGTTACAAAAAAACCATTCATTCTTTACCCATTTTAAACTAGCTGGAAGATGACTTTCCAGGATGAAGCAGGCCTCTGACGTGCCTGATTTATGTGATCCTGGTTTTCAGACTGGAAAAGCAAGAACTACCATGAAACTGCTCTACGTGCAGTAAAACTAAAAGATCATTTTGTTTAGAAAGCCTCAACCATGGCAGCTTGTTCCTGAAATGCAGAGACAACTGTTTATAGGCCAAGGTCAGAGCACAGCTTGACAAAACTAAAACAAAGTTTCTCTAACCTTAAATGCACCCCCCACAAGAGAGACCACAGAGTATTTTCTGTGCTGTGATACAGGACATGCTGCTTGGCTCTTGGATGGGGTTTTTTTCTGCTATTTAACAGGGTGAACCAAGTAAAGGCAACTCACCAACTTCTTGTCCATTTTTGCTTTGATATCTCTTGCAAGAGTGAAAAATGCCTGCGATGAGTAGAAAATGAAGTGTTACATGGTAAATAAAATAGATTCCATTGTTTTTGTTTAGCAATAAGCCACTTTCCTGAGTTCCTACATATACAGAGCTCCCAAAGAATGTCAAGTTTTCACTTTTTTCCCCCCCTTCAGGTTTTAATGCTCTTTTCTTAACCCCACTACCTCCTGTCTGAGCCCAAAAGCACAGCAGCACAGACCATGGTAGGGCACAGCCAGGGTGCACAGAGGGGGAGAATGTCACCCATCCACAGAATCCCAGGATGGCTGGGGCTGGAAGGGACCTCTGGAAATCATCTCCTCCAACCCCCTGCTCCAGCAGCTCACCCACAGCAGGGTGCCCAGGGTCACAGCCAGGAGGGTTTGGGATCTCTCCAGAGCAGGAGACTCCACAGTCTCTCTGGGCAGCTGCTCCAGGCTCCACCCTCACAGCAGAGGATTTTCTCCTCCTGTTGAGCTGGAACCTCCTGGGTTCCAGTTGGTGCCCGTTGCCCCTTGTCCTGTCCCTGGGCACCACTGGGAAGAGATTTCACCAACCACAGCACAGAGCTCACACACAGGCCACATTTTCCAGCGTGCTGCTCTGGGGCAGTTCACTGCAACACCCGTGAGCCACACTAAGCACAAAGCTCCATTGAAATAAATCAGCAAATAAACAAATCAGATTGAAATAACAGATAAACACCCATCTGCAGCACCCCACAGCCAGTCCTGCAGCCAGCAGGGGTGGGTGAGGCTCTGGCTGCTGTGCCCAGGGCAGAGCCAGCCTGGGGAGGGCAGTACTCACGTTCTCGATGTTGATGTTGGCTTTTGCACTGGTCTCCATAAATTTAATTCCAAAACTGGCGGCGAGCTGAGGAAAAGCAGCTTCATGTCAGTGGCCAATTGCAGGAACAGCCCCAAGGACAATGAGCCACGTGGGACCCACCCTCCTGGGGTCACCCACAGCGACCCGGGGACTCGCCAGCAGCACAGGGGCAGAAATCAGACCCAGACCTCCCCCTGCCAGGACATGCTCTGCCCGGCCTCACTTCTGCTCTGCTTCAACCTTCAACTCTGCTTCTGCACACCCTTCAACCTGCTTCTTTGGCTTTTCCATTGTTTTTCTTGCACAGGCACCCTGCCACTCTTGTAACATTTGCAGCACACAGAAACCTCCTCTGCCTCAAATGAGCAGCATCTGAACAGGACACAGTCCTGCCCACCTTGTCTCCTCCTCTCACTGTTGAGCCCCACAAGCTTTTTCAGCCTTTTTCTAAGAGAAAATCCAGCTCGTTGTTTTGCACTGAACACGCCTTGACCAGATCATCAACAATTCTCAGCATAGACTCCTCTTTTTTTTATGGGAGCAGGGAAATGTCCTGCAGCTGGAGCTGGGGAAATGTCCAACAGCTCTGCTCAGAACCACCCCCCACAGAAGCAGACAGGCAGTGACGAACACAACCTTTAAACTCTGACAAGTCCAAGCTGAAATACACTAAAGCCACGGCACTTACCTTCTGCCCTTGCTCTCTGGAAACTTGTCTTTTGTCATTTGCATCACATTTGTTCCCCAGGATCATTTTTTCAACATCTGGAGAGGCGTGCTGAGACAGAAACAGACCACAGAGTGGATTTTAGTGTGGGGTTTTGTAGATAAATATAGTCCAAATGATGAGGCTGCAAGTGTTGAACGCAGAGATGCTGGTGCTGAGCATCTTCTGCAGATTGACTCCCCCAGCCCCTCAGCCTGGCACATGTCCTGCACAACCACAGCTCTCAGGTCACTTCTTGTGGCAGGAATGTCACCCTCCAGGTCCCCCTGGGAGCAGAGGGGTGCAGCCCCCAGAGCTGGCTCTCAGCCAGCACATTGTGCCCCAGAAAGTATTGAGAGATTTTCATTCAATTTATTTTCCATGCACCCTTCAACCCACGAACTTAGAAGTAATTAAACACTTCTGAAGCAATTAAGTTTCAATAGCTTCCAGAGGAAGAAACTGCAGCTTTAATATCCAGGAAGGAAAGAGAGGAATCACCTCTTCAATGTTCCTGACCCAGTTCCGAATGTTTTCAAACGACTTTTCATTGGTGATATCATAGACTAACATAATGCCCTGGAGAGGAAGAAGGAAACAGATTGTTTCAGTTAGTGTCAGGGTAAGCAGGAGTTAATGAAAGGAGCAGCTC